CCAAAACCCACTGTTCCTTTACTAATCGACTTGTTTACTTGAAACCCATTCTTTCTTGCCCGAAACTTCTTGTTATTCACCTAAAGCCCACTGTTCTGTGATTTGCTTCACTGCTTGCTATATTGACTATAAATAAACTCCTGGGACTGAAGTGGGGGTCGACTCCTCTGAGTGACCCTCCTTGGCCCCACTTCTCTGTAAGAGTTGTGTTTGGCTACTGTCTCCGCCGCCCCGACAATCGTCGCTGCTGAGACAATAGACAAGTGAGCACTTGCAGTGTTGGATCCGTTTGTTGAAACATCTCAATTGGTATTCTGTCAACACCTGGAGCCTTGTTTTTTGCCAATGCCTTCAGTGCAGCTTGGACTTCTTCATTCAGTACCATCGGTTCTTGAAATGGTTGAACGTCGATCAATTCTTTTCGGTAAAGTGATTGTATTTCTTCCATCTACTTTTGATGCTTAATATGTCGCTGAATTTTTGCCCGTAGAAACCTTCACTATTGCAACTTGAGGTTGAATTTTTTCTTCAGTTCTTTCACCTTGACAAATGCCAAGTGTGTTCTTTACTTTTGGTTTTCTAAATCCAGGTCTTTGCACGTATCATTATAATACTTTTCTTTGTCTTCTCGAGCCACCCATTGAAATCTTCTGTTCAGCTCTTTTACTTTATCATTTCTTCCTTTCACTTTAGCTACTCTACATTCAAGAACAAGTTTCAGACTCTCTTCTGACATCCATTTTAATCTTTTTTTTTCTTTTCTGTCTCTTTAATGACTTTTTACTTTCTTTTACTTTTTATGTATGATGTCCTTGATGTCATCCTACAACTTGCCTGGTCTTCAGGCATTAGTGTTCAATGCATCGAATTTATTCTTGAGATGGTCTCTAAATTCTGGTGGGATATACTCAAGGCTGTATTTTGGCTCTCCTGGATTTGTTTTAATTTTCTTCAGCTTCAACTTGAACATGCATATAAGTAACTGATGGTCTGTTCCACAGTCTGCCCCTGGCCTTGTTCTGGCTGACGATATTGAGCTTTTCCATTGTCTCTTTCCATACATGAAGTCGATTTAATTTCTGTGTATTCCATCTGGTGAGGTCCACATGTACAGTCACCATTTATGTTGCTGAAAAAAGGTATTTCCAATGAATAAGTCATTGATCTTGCAAAATTCTATCACGCACTCTCCAGCATCATTTCTCTCACCAAGGCCATATTTTCCAACTACTGATCCTTCTTCATTTCTGTTTTTCACATTCCAATCTCCAGTAATTATCAATGCATCTTGATCGCATGTTTAATCAATTTCAGACTGCAGAAGTTGGTAAAAATCTTCAAATCTTCATCTTTCACACTAGTGGTTGATGTGTAAATTTGAATAACAGCTGTATTAACTGGTCTTTCTTGTAGGCGTATGGATATTATCCTATCACTGGTAGCCTTGTATTTCAGGATACATCTTGAAATGTTCATTTGGATGACAAACGTGTTGCTATTCCTCTTCAATTTGTCATTTCTAGCATAGGTGTCCATATGATTGTCCAATTAAAAATGGCCAATACCAGTCCATTTTAAACCATGAATGCCTAGGATACTCATCTTCAAGTATTCCTTTCATTTTGACAACTTCTAATTTTCCTAGATTCATGCTTCATAGATTCCACGTTCTGATTATTAAGGGATGTTTGCGGGTATTTCTTCTCATTTTGAGTCATGCCACAACGTCAAATGAAAAAGCTTTACTCCATCCACATTATTAAAGTTGAGTCTACTTTGAGGAGGCAGCTCTTCCCCAGTCATCTTTTGAGTGCCTTCCAATCTGAGGGGGCTCATCTTCCGGCACTATATCAGACAATGTTCTGCTGCTATCCATAAGGTGTTCACTGCCAATTTTTTCAGAACTACACTGCCATTTCCTTCTTCACAGTCTGTCTCAGTCTGGAAGTTCCACTGAAACCTTCCACCATGGGTGACTCTGCTAGTATTTGAAATACCAGTGGTATAACTTCAAGCATCACAGCAATATGCAAGCTACCACAGCATGATAAACTGACAGACGAGTGGTGGAATGGAGCATTACTTAGCCATAAAAAGAAATGAAGTTCTGATACATGCTACAACATGGATGAGCCTTGAAAACATTATGCTGAGTGCAATAAACAGACACAAAAAGCCAAATATCATCTGATTCCATGTACATGAAATATACACAACAGGCAAATTCATAGAGACAGGAAGTAGACCAGAAGTTACCATGGATTGGGGGTGGTGGAGTGATGAGGAGTTATAGCTTAATGGGTACAGAGTTTCTGACTGGGTTGATGAAAAGATTTTGTAAATAGATAGGGGTGATGGCTGCACAACATTATGTATATAATAAATGCCACTGAACTGTATACTTCAAAATGGTTACAATGGCAAATTTTATGTTATATATATTTTACCAATTTTTTTTTTTTTTTAAAAGGAGGAATTGGTTTTGGAAATGGGATGAATAGGTTCAAATCTCAGGTTGCTCAAATGCTAGCTATTGGAACTTATACAAGATACTTAACATTTCTGAACATCAAATGTCCTCTTTGTAAAATCAGGATAGGACTAGGTAGAAAGAAAATGTGGAAGATTACAGACCTTCGTTTAGATGTAGGGTCATCCACTCCCTTCCTGTGTGGCCCCCTCCTCCTTCCACTGTGTGTGCCAGTCACAGGGCCTTCTTTATGTTCCCCAAATATGTTGTGCTCTTCCTTTCTTATCCAGGGTTTTGAAAAGTTGTTCTGTTGGAAACTATCCTTAATGTCTCTTTCTGCCACCCCACCTTATATAGATTCCACACCCACCTTCTCTTAGGTGAAGCCTCCTAGCCTTCACATCAGCCTAGCGTTTTCGGAGCACCAGATCAGATAAGATCCCTTCCCTAGTCATATAGTCCCACAGCCCCACAATTCTACTCTTACAAGACCTTAAGGGAACTTAATGGACAAACGTGTAAGTCACAAGCAATGGTTTGTGTGACGATTCTTTTTTCTTTACGTCTGTTATCCATCAGCACATAATGACACAAATAATCCAGGTGATATTCTTTGTTCCTTGTAACTTGAGAATTATCTTCATTAATTCAACAGTAATAACAGGATGATGAACTAAATTTATAATCACCTGGAATGCAAAAAATAGGCTAAGCAGTTTCAATTGTGCTGAGAGCTAGAATCAACCCCAGTAATCAACAGCAGTGGTTTGCAGAATTTGGTCTTCACGGCAAACCAGGGACTTTTCCAAGTATAACATTAATACCACACAGCTGATAATTATAAAGGAATAGCATTCAAAGCCAGAGGACACTATTTAGCAGCAACTACCATTTAATGAGGATGTATTTTCAAGAGGAGAAAAAATAAACTAGAAAAGTCAAGTTATTAGTGGAAACCCCAGAAAGAACTACTTAGCTGACATTTATGCAGTAAGTTTACAAGATTAAAAAGTATCATTTCAGAATTACTGCCACTAGTTCAAAGCACACAGCTGTCTTTTTCAGTCATTTATTTGCTTCACAGAGAATAGGCAAATACAGGAGACTATTTTACAAACATAAAAATACATATATATGTAGAAATAATACTAACAGAGTAATGTATTTCCACAATTAAAATATACATATTTTACACAACCAATCGCTGACAGCTAACACCAATAATGGATTCTCCACTGAAGTAAAAATTAGACCAAGATGTTATTATTTAAGCAATTGTAAATGAGATTTTAAAAAGTGCTTCAAAGTGAAACAAACAATGTGAAGCAATTTTTTTTAAAAGTTTAAGACTGTTCCATTTTCTCTCCTGGGCCTCATTTTTGAAACAGCAATTCACTTTCAAAAACAAACTCAGAGCTTTCTTTTTTTTAAACTCAAAATCCCATTGTCTGCTACCTACAGCAGTTTCCAAATGGAAAAAGACGTCCTACAGCTTGGCTGCTCTGACAAAAAAGATTTCTGTAAGAAGAGAACAAAGCAGTTCAAAACAACAGAAAAGGAAGACTGTTCAAAATACAAACTCTGGAAAAACCTAAAAATACTATGATGTTCCAAATAATGCATATGCTGGTTTTCTCTTAGAAATTGCAGCTCTACTGCATATTTGGAGTAGATATGGACATATAAATCCATATAAAAATATAAAATAGACTGAAAATATACACACTAAATTAATTGTGGTAGTTTTCTCAGAGGTGGAGGGAAAAGAGTTTTGGGATTAGACATGAACAGCAAAGTAAACATCAATTTCAACTGCAATACTTTAGCTTAACTAAACAAAGTATTAACAACTGCCAATTCTTCATGATAGGTACATGTTTATAATAATTCTCTTTATTCTTACCATTTTTTTCTCTCAAAATTAAAAAAAATACACTACTTAACCTATACAAGAATCAGAGACAGCCCCTGTCCTCCTGAACTGCCAGTTGAAAATAATGTGCTGTAACTGATCAATAAAACAATATGTATGGAATATTAACAAAAGCAGACCTGGTTAACATGAGCCCTTACACTATGGAAACTGATTGCTCATGTGATTTTACTTGCAGGCAGATCTGTCTTCCCAAAGCCAGCTTATTCCTGCCATGACTACATTTGTAGATACCCACTGCCATCAAGTCACTTCCAACTCATAGGGACCCTATAGGACACAGGAGAACTGCCCCTAGGGTTTCCAAGGTACGGCTGGTAGATTTGAACTGCCAACATTTTGGCTAGCAGCTGAGCTCTTAATCATTGTCCCACCAGGGTTCCACATTTGTAGACAAACATTTTCCAACGATCAGTTTGGCATAGGTTTAAGAATGAACAAAGGGTAATATGCTTTTCTTATTCTGAATCTTTGACCCTATTATGTGACTAATTTTGATAAAGTTTTTTAAGGTAAAATATGTTTCTGTCATATTTAAGATTAGAATTACCTTCTTACTGCTAGACTGGCTTTCAAAAAGTGTGGAGGCGTTCTTACCTGTTCTTTCATTTCAGCATAGACTTTCTCTGAGTTCAGTTCCACCTGCCTCTTAAACTCCTCCAGAGCAGCATCTGCCTGCTGGGCCTGCAATCTCTGAACTTCAGTCACACGAGTTAGCTGCTCCTCTTTTTCCCTAGAAAAGTTCAAAAAGCTTCAGAGCTCAAATATAAAAGAATTAGGCTTGAATAAAAGAATATTTAACTTCTCTAAATAAAATTTCTCAAAAGAAAAAAAAATCTGTTCTGATGAGGGCACCATTACTTGCAAAAATTTCCCTACAACAAAACTATTTATAACCACGTACCTCCATCAGCTGGTGAACAGATAAACAAAGCATGATACATCCATCCAGTGGAATATTATTCAGTTAAAAGAGAAATGAAGTTCTGACACATGCTACCATGCATCATGTACAGATGAACCTTGAAAACATTATGCTAAGTGAAACAAGTCAGTCACAAAATACCACATATTGTATGGTTCAATTTTTAGGAAATGTCCAGAATAGGTAAATCCAGAGAAGGAAAGTAGATTTCCAGGTTCTGGAGGGAGGGGGAATAGGGAGTGACTGCTAATGGTATGGAGTTTCTTTCTGGGATGATGAAACTGTTCTGGAATTAGTGGTGATTGCACAGCCTTGCGAAAACACTAAAACTTGTATACTTTAAAAGGGTGAATTTTATGGCATGTGAAATTATATCTCAATTTAAAAAACTCATTACCAATGGAAATATACGCATGTCTACTCAGCAGGTGACCTTCAGGGAGGAAGAAGCGACCGAGTAACATGATGGCCTGACATTCTAACTGCGCTCCTGAAAACTTGCCTAAAAGAACTAATAACCGTCTCATTTCTTCACACTGAAACTGAAATTACATAGTCAAAGGAGTCCAAAACCTGAGAAATCTTTGCATGTTGACAGAGGGAAAGAATAAAGACTTTAAGTTTACAAACACATATTGTTGTGGTTGCTGGGTGCCATAGAGTCAGTTCCAACTCATAACAACCCTATGTAAAACAGAACGAAACTGTGCCCAGTCCTGAGCCATCCTCACAATCATTGCTGTTTGAGCCCGTTGTTGCAGCCACTGTGTCAATCTCTCTCCTTGAAGGTCTTTCTCTTTTTCGCTGACCCTCTACTTTACCAAGCATGATGTCCTTCTACGGGAACTGGTCCCTTGGAAAACGTGTCCAAAGAAAGCTCCTCACTTCTAAGGAGCATTCTGATTGAACTTCTCCAAGAGAGACTTGCTCATTCTTCTGGCAGTCCATGATATATTCAATACTCTTTGCCAACACCATAATTCAAAGACGTCGACTCTTCTTCAGTCTTCTTTATTCATTGTCCAGCTTTCACATACATATAATGTGACTGAAAATACCATAGCTTAGGTCAGATGCACCGTAGTCATCAAAGTGACATGTTTGCTTTTTAACACAGATGTCACTTTTGCAGCAGATACATAGTTTGATTTCTTGACAGCTGCTTCCATGAGCAATGACTGTTGATTCAAGTGAAATGAAATCCTTGACAACTTCAATATTTTCTCCATTTATCATGATGTTACTTACTGGTTCATTTGTGAGGATTTTTGTTTTATGTTGAGGCGTAATCCATACTGAAGACTGTGGTCTTTGATCTTCATGGATAAGCGCTTCAAGTCCTCTTCACTTTCAGCAAGCAAGGCTGTGTCATCTGCGTATCACAGGCTGTTAACGAGTCTTCCTCCAATCCTGATACCGTATTCTTGTTCATATAGCCCAGCTTCTCGGATTATTTGCTCACCATACAGATTGAATAAGTACAGTGAAAGCATACAGCCCTGACGCACATGATGGCATACATAACATTAACTTGGCTCACCTTCCCTAAATGGAATGTTTACACAAATACAGAACACTATCTTATTTTTAACTGTAATACTGAAGAATGCTGAGGAAGGAATAATTTAACTCACACAAATAAAATTTTATCTAAACATCATAACGGAGCAAAAGGCATTTCCCAATCCATGATGCCACCACTGTCTTTTAAGATCTGGGAAAAAAGTAATTTGAGCTTTTGGGGGTTACCTGGATCTGACTTTAAAAATCTCTCTCAGATCCTTAATAATTTTTAGGCTTTCCAATAAGAAACTACATGCAACATCAAATATCAAAATATCACGCCTTCTTCAAAAAAGTTAAAAACAGTGTCACCTAGTTTCCGTTTCAGCAAGACTCTCCTGTCCCTTCATAAAGAGATGTGGCAATGCATGTACAGACTGGGGTTTCTACTCCTGTGTATGGGCATGGCTTATCTGCAAATAAGCAGCTTGCTATATTTGGGCTGGAAGAACATACGATGAATCCCTTTTTTATTTTTCATTTTAAGTACCACATGTGTCTATTTATCTCTTTGTATCTACCCACAAATCCTTCCATCTAAAGTTGACAGTAACACTACATTCTCATGAAAGGCAAAGCAATTTTTCCACTGAAATATCTTTTTCTCTGTGTGTCTATTTTACACACATGACACCATTTTTATGACCTACAGGGCTTAATACTCTGCCTCAAGGTGTGTGATGCCCTGCATGAGAGCTTAGCCAATCCAGACGTGGTGCAGGCACATGCGGCTCCCACTTACTGCATTTGGCAGCAATGTGGTACAGGCTTCTGGGCCTTTTTAAAGGCTTTCTTTAGGCTATCTGTCTTAACTACTCAGCAGAAACCTGAATATCTTGTTTTCCTCCATTTTTCTTATATGTTGGTATAACAAAATGTTTTTAATGTTTACTGGTTGCTAAGGCCTTAATACTAGTGATGTTTAATGTCAAGATTTTTTAGCTCTGATTCTGCCACTTAATGGCAAGATTAGCTCATAGACAACAGCAATTAATAACTGGATGTGATACTGAACAAGAGGTATCACTACAGAAAAGACTGAGCACTCTGATGGCTATAAAGAAAAAATAATAATAACCCGTTGCTGTTCAGTAGATTCCGACTCATAGCATCCCTATAGGACAGAGGAGAACTGCCCCATAAGGTTTCCAAGGAGCAGCTGGTGGATTCGAATTACTTACCCTCCAGTTAGTAGCCAAGCTCTTTATCACTACACCATCGGGACATGTCATTAAGAAAGACCAACTGTTAGAAAAGGATATAACGGTTGGTAAAGAAGAGGGTCAGTGAAAACGAGGGAAACCCTCAATGAGATGGACTGACACAACAGTCAAAACAATAGATTCAATCAAACTTACAAACAATCATGAAGATGGTGCAGGATCAGGCAACATTTCTTCTGTTATACATAAGGTCGCTATGAGTCAGGGCCGACTTGCTGGCACCAAAAGATAGCTAACAACATTATTCTGCAAAGAAGGAAGCACTGGGTTGTTTGTAAGGTTAGCTTGACTTAAACACTGAATATTTTCTTCTAATATTCAAGTATTTAAATATGAAAACAGCATATGGAAACAACATAAAGTTATTCAAATTGTATTACGTACCATGGTCTTGACTTGGGTTGACAAAAGGTGTTCTCTGGTATGGTTCCCCAACTGACTGGAAGGGGCGGCTTGGAATGCTCTATTAAAAGGGTTCTGAGACGGGGCTCATATGGAGAGGCTACTATGGTTGATGAACGATGTCTCCAATGCAGGGCACTGGAGTGAGGTAGCACAAGGGCTGCTTCTCTGCCATTTGGGGACTACAAGGACTATTTCATTCTATATAAGTCTTTAACTTTTAAGGCCCTCCTAAAAGCACCTGGAAAGACTATATCATAATTATTAAAATTTATTAAAGGTTTACCTTTGCTTGGTCTCTCTGTCTATAAATAGAGAAGAGAATACAGTGGGCTATACTTGAAAACATTAAAAGTTTATGTATCATATGTTTAAAACTACGTACACACACGTGTCATCATGAGTCTCAATCAACTCAACAGTAGTGGGTTTGGTTTTCGGTTTTTACCATTAATTAGCCAAAGGAAGATTTTACTAACGTATTTAATAATAATACACAACCTATGGCTGAAATATCAACTTTGTTCAGTGCATGTTGGAAGTCAGTTGTTTTATATTTGTTGTCCAATAAGCAACATGAGCTTCAGTTAATGCAAATGCTGTCAATTTAATAGAATAACTATTTCTCTCTACATCACCTCACTCTTAGCTATCAAGTTTAGTTCATTTACTTTATAATTAACTTACGACCACATCAACTGAAGTTGTGAACTTAAGCCATCATCAGGTATGTATTAGAGACCATAATAAAAATACCGTTAAGATAAAACTTTGTGCAATAAGGCATACTGTTTTTACTTGTAACTTCTATCCTGATTTATAGATATCAAATATAACTTTATTTTAAACAGCAACAAGGGAAAATGTGTGAAATCTCCTAACTAGTTTCTATTCTCACAACACCTACTGAGTTAATCTGGTAGTAAAGCTGAATACCAAAGGAGGACTCAACTAACGTAAATGAGTGTTCTTGTCCAGTTAAACTATGACAAATAAATTGAGACCCACTAACATTTAAGAATCTTCTGTCATAATTTAAATAAAACACCTGTTTTAATTTAGATAAAGAGGTGGTAATCATTTTAATGAGAAATCCATCTTAGTGTCTGCAAGGTGTTGAAGAGACGTGAAAACTTTTGAGAATCTGAATTAGGGACCTGCTCCTCACTAACATAAAAACAGTGTTACTTTTTACCAGGATTCCAAATAGTATGCCTTATATACACACACACTCACACATACAAACACACAAATCATGGCTTTGAAGATTATTTTTTTCAGTGGAGCCATTTGCCGGGCCATGTATAAAAGTATCACTCAAACGTCGTAAAGCTGGGCCTCCATGAAGATAAAAAAGTGGGAAGACAACTGGCTTTATAGCTCAGATTTATTTACAAAATACAGTAAATTTTCTTCATCTGAGAATATAAAGGATAAAGGAAAAAGAGAGCTGCATTCTTACACATCCACAAGCTAGCTCAGATTAAGGAATGCTCTGAAGTACATGATTATTCCAAAAAGGCAATAAAATGTAGGGGACTAATGGATGACAAGTCAGTATTTCTTGGGCTTTACAAGCTAATATTTATATGTACAAGTCAACCTTAATGTGAAAATCTT